GCCCTACCACCCACTTTCCTATAAAAGGAGCAGGTTTCTGATCAATAAAGGACAGTTCCCCTACACCTTCTTCACAATAGTGTTTGATCAATATAACCTATTCCATATCTGTGTCTTATCTTTGGTTGTCCTGTTGTTAAGGGGGCTGGTGTAGAGTACAATCTGAGGAGCTTGGTGCAGAGTCATACTCGGTACGATACCGGTCCACATTGGTTCCAGTGTGCATACCGGGGGTAGAGGTTCCCTACTGTGCGATACTGTTGGTACTCCTCGGGAAATACTCGTACCGTACTTGGGCTCGGTACCAAAATTGGTCGGTCCGGTATTTTGGTCAGAACCATACCGGTTCGATACTTGAATCACCGACAGTATCAGCCAAACCCTACTACCACCCACTTTCCTATAAAAGGAGCAGGTTTCTGATCAATAAAGGATAGTTCCCCTACACCTTCTTCACACTTTTCCAAAAAGCCCAGGCAAAAGCCCTAGCACCACTTCCTATAAAAAGAGCAGGTTTCTGATCAAGAAAGGACAGTTCCCCTACACCTTCTTCACACAATAGCAGGATGGACACTGATCAGTATGTTAGCATCCTGGACTCCTGGAGAACCAGCTGATTCCAAGCCTTGACAAAAATGGGCTTGAACCACTTGATGTTCTCTTTCAGCAAGATAATGATCCCAAGCACACAGCTAAAAAAATAATTGCATGGCTCTGCAATCACCACATTCCGATCATGAAATGGCCAGCACCTTCCGCAGACTTGAACCTAATTGAACACTTGTGGAAATGGCACTACAAGTGCCAAGAACCCCCCAAGAGCTTGCTGAGCTCAAAGCTCACATCAAAGAGGAAGGAGGGATGATTCCAAAATATGTTTGTGCTTCTTTGGTGGAAAGCTTGCCAAGGAGGATTGTAGCAGTCGTTGCTGCTAAAGGGGGGAATACAGCTATGCAGTTCATGCAGTCAGTCAAATTTGCAACAACGGTGCTGTACTTTCCGCCATGTGCTATTCAAATTTTTTTGGGCTGATTTTTACTTTTTAGAGCACAGGTAGAAGAGGTAAAGATGCCCGTGGTTCAGGTTCAAGTTCGAAAAATGGTTGTGTTTTGGGGCAGGGCTGTAAACAAATTATCTATGTTGAAAACACTGAATCCAACCTGGATCTGGTCATGAACATGGCTGGTGGGTCTTGACCAGATCCAGGTCGGGTACCGGACAGTTTCATGAGCCGTGACCCAAGTATCTGGGATTCACAGGAGACAGATCCATGACAAAATCAGGCCACAGGTCCATATCATGTTCAATCTCCACCCACCCTGGGGCAGGCAGGTTGATATTAAATTCGCAGGATTCTTGTCCACTCCCAGAAACCCAGTGATTAGGTTGAATTCACCTCTACAACTTTGTGGGAATCCATAACCAACTTCACCACCTTTGGCATCCCTGATTAAGGGCAGGCAGGTGCTTGCACACAAAATGTTTATATTGTTGATCATGTTTGTCAACACTGCTGGGTGATTCAGCTTCAGGAGCAGTAGTCTGATTGCAAGAGCAGTCGCTTTGCTATGTTTTTCAACCAGGTGAGGAATAATGTGTGGCAGACCGTTAAGGTGGTGGAGGTGGTACGTCATTATGTCCTCACACATCTGAATTCTGAAGTGGGTGATTGAGTCTAAAGATGTAACCTTTTGACATTGGCTCTAGGACTGTCGTCCTTTCGTGTTCCTACTGTCAGTAATTTCTGGTCCAGGGCAGCCCTCTTTAAGTCTACCGTACTTTTATTTTTTTAATAGAAATATGCATATAAATTCCTGCAAATTCATGCGCGCTGGGCTTTTGTTGCCTTGGCTCACGCGACCTGTCAGAAGCAAGCACGTGCCTTGTTTTTAAACTTGCAGGTGGCACCAAGAGCATGCCGGTGGCGTTTTGTGTCTCGCGCGCAGCAGACCAAGGCCGATGAGTACAGCATTGGTGGCAGCAGCAGCTGCGACGCTAGTCACGGCGGCGGCCGCAACGCTGGTGGCTACGGCGTCTACGGTTACGGCCGCGGCAACCGTGTGTGCCCTGTACTGCGACACACGCGACCCGTCGCAGGCACAGTCCGAGGCGTTCCCAACGGCGGACGTGGTGCAGAATGGGCGAACAATCCGGCTGCACGTGTCGGACGCGGATGGGATGGCGTGGGCCAGTATCGACGGGGGCAGCGTCACGACGGACGACTCAGTATGGCTGGACAGGTCGTGGGACGGCGGAGCGACGTGGGACGGGCTGCTCGGCAAGGCATGGATACCGGCAACGTGGACTGGCACGCGTACGCTGATGTACAACATCTACGACCCTGCAGGGCATCGGCGTGGCGTGGTGCGGGCGTGCGGCGACTCGCTTGGGGTCGTTTGTACGGCGTGGACGTACGCTGCAGTGTGCGGTGCAGCTGGGTGCGACGGAGCAACGGGGGCGGCGGTGGGTGACTATCAGCCCGTTAACGCTACGATGTTGAACGGGCGCACGATCGCACTGCACATGGATGCATCGGGCATGGCGTGGGGCGCCTTGAGCGGTGGCACGGCAGGCGACCAGGTGTGGCTTGACCGGTCATGGGATGGTGGAGCCAGTTGGCCGGACGGTTCGTCACTCGGACGGGTAACTGTGGGAAGCGGCTCAACAACGGTGCAGACGACGCGCTACAACGTGCGTGACGTCAAGGGCAGGATGTTCGGCGGGGCGGTACGGGCGTGCGGAGTGACGATAGAGGGCGAGAATGGCAGTTGCACGGTGTGGTCACGGCCGAGCTCGAACCGCACGGCTGCGGCGACGGACGCGCTGATGTACTCGTACAACATCACGACGGGGTGGTGGCCGTCGAGCTGGTGGAACTCGGCGGTAGCACTGTCAACACTGGTCGAGTACATGCGGCTGACGGGCGATACGACGTACGCGTGGGTGGTGGAGTGGACGTACGTGCAGAACAGCGGAGTCATGGCAGCGGGTGTCAAATCTGGCGACGCCGATCAAGGCGGTTTCATCACACAGGCGACAGACGACACCGAATGGTGGGCGCTGGCGTGGGTCGACGCGTATGACCTGACGGGCAACGCCACATACCTTCAAGCAGCTGTGACGATCGCCGAGTATGTGACCGGGCTTTGGGACGCTACCAGCTGCGGCGGCGGCGTGTGGTGGAACACGCAGCGCACGTACAAGAATGCAATGTATGGGCTTCTGACTGAAATCGTTCTCCTCCTCCATCCCACCACTTAATATCAATTCTGTGCGACCTGTGCGACTCTTCTAACCATTCCTTTTCATCCTCTCAGAACCAATGGCCTCTTTGTGCGCCTCACCGCTGCCCTACACAACCGGATCCCGGGCGACACCGAGTGGCTTGGATGGGCCAGCAAGGCGTGGGCTTGGTACGCCGGCAGCGGGCTGATCAACTCTGCCGGGCTGGTCAACGACGGGCTAACCTCGTCGTGCGCGAACAACGGGCAGACGGTGTGGACGTACAACCAGGGGATGGCGATGGGCGCAGCGGCGGAGGTCTGGCGGGCGACGGGCAACACGACGGCTTTGGCTGCGGCTGGGGCGCTGGCGGATGCAGCTTTGGCGTCCGGGTTGGTAGTGGGCGGGCTGCTGACGGAGAGCTGCGACGGAACGGGCAGCTGCGACGACAACCAGAAGCAGTTCAAGGGCATCTTTATGCGGAACCTGCAGGACGTGTACGCGGCGGCGACGGCGTCGGGCAGCTGCAGCAGCTGTGCAGCGTGGGCGCAGTTCACGGCGGCGCAAATGACTGCCATCTGGGGCTTGGACCGCGACGCGCTGAACGAGCTGGGCGAGCGCTGGGGCGGCGCGTCGGTATCCGGAGCGACTGGTACGAATGTGATCTCGTGGCGCACGCAGGCAAGCGGGCTGAGCGCACTGCTGGCGGCAGTGGCCATGCAGTAGTGAGCGGATCTGGAAAACGTGATGCGGCGATTTTGGCTTAAAAACCTCGTGTACTTTCTGGGCTTTCTTGATGTAGTTGTGATTTTCTTCACCCTTTCGTCACAAAATTCACTTCGGCCACTCATGCCTCACCAAAACTCTGAACAAAGTCTCAATTGGAAAAACTCGCTGCTTCCAATGTGAGCAACGGAACATCGCTGACTTACCAGCCAAAGGTGCGACTTCCCCACTCCAAAGAATCAAGCCATATCCAAAAACATTTATTGACTCATGTATATTGGTCCATGTTTAGTGTTCTTCTTTGCGTGTAGAAAAGATACTTGACCCGGCGCAAGTAACTATGCACAAAAAAGGGGCTCGCCGGGGATTGAACCCGGGACCTCCACCACCCGAAGGAGGAATCATACCACTAGACCACGAACCCGTTGTCGTTGGCTTCTAGTATATATTTGTATCCATGGTAAATATTGAAAACTATTTTTGTAATTGACGGGGTTTTTGGAGGTTGCCATGGCCAGTTGACGGAAATTTTGGAGGCTACCATGTAAATATTGTATTTTAAAATCGTTGCATCTAGAGGGTGCAATGTCACAAAATCCAATCCGGAAAATCATAGAGTCGTTTAAGGAGGCAGGGGGGTGAGGGGGGAAAGATATTGACAGGGTAGGAGGAGGGCGAAAGGAAAAACTTTAAACGGGAGTATATTCCCAGACTCAGGGCAAATTCGCTCTTAGTTAATTTGGTGCCAGGATTCGCTTTGTCTTGGTATTAGCTCCATAGATTGACTTGGACGTGAAATACTGGAGGAGTGAAGACGCCTCCGAGCCTCCACTGTGGCTTTTGCGAAGTTGGTAACCTGAAACAATCAATTCGAAATATAACAGAGGCAAAATTTAGCGAAAAGGGCGTCTGGTATACATAAACAAGTAAAAGTTGTCGATAGTTGATGGTGAACTTTGTGCGGGGAAGGGTGAGTGGGCGGCTAATGTCAATACCATTGCCCAGTAGGAGATCTCCACCGAGCGAAGCTCATCGATCCAGCTTCTTAAATGCCTGACGGACTTATACAGGGAGCTGAAGTCAAACCCGGTCGCCTCGTCCATCAGCAGGGCCAGCCTGCGCAGCGGTCTGCGAACCAGGATCCAGGTGGCCGGCACAGATAGTACCACGGCCAGAAGCAGGCAGCCGGCGGCAGAGGCAAACATATAACCGGCCTGGGTGGCTAGACGTGCGCGCAGCGCTGAATCCGTCGCCCCGAGATTTCCGACAAAGTCGTTTATCGGCACCCCGACCACCGCCACCGTGCGCGCCGCCGGAATCAATACGTGCTGGAAGAGAAGCCCTGACGCGAAATATGAGGACGAAGACGGCAGTGCGGACACGTTGCCGCCACAGCTGGAAAGAATCACTTGGACGGACGCATTCATGCGGTGGTCCTGAAGCTGCGTCACCAGCTTTGTCGTGACTGTCTCGTCAGCGTCCTGCAACAAAAGGATTAAGTCAGCATGGCAAAAAAGGACATAATAACCCACGTATAGTGTTGTTTCGGATATGTTACTCGACGCGAAGAAGACCAGGTCGTAATTAAATACGAAGATGAAAGCGTTGTCTGTCAGCTCCGACTGCAGATTTGATAGGTGAAGTCGTAGCTCGTCGAAGTTTAAATCGACAGACATGACAGCAGAAAGATTGCCATTCTTGAAAACCGGCATGGTCTATATAATCATAAATTTCGGACATTGCCACCTCCTACCCTATTACATACCGCTGTAATACCAACGTACTCGCCTACACCAAATACTAGAGTGAAGGTTTTAATCAAAAGTGAGAAAAACTACCATTACCGTAAGGGTCTGTCCAAACTATGGACGACACAGATTGAATTGTGGCCGCTCTATACCATGGCCGAGTACTTGGTTCATAGACATCCTGCATATGGGGTTTAGATGTCGAATTTATAAAGCGAGACAGTACCGAGCTGTATATGTTTGATGGGCTATCTGACGTGTTCAAACTAATCATGTTCCTTCTCGAGTTGTTGAAACCTTGAATGGAACAAAGTTCATTGCACCTCTTGAAAGTAGATTAATTACATAAGCGAAAGTGCGAAGAGGACTCACCGTTTCGCCTGCCGACAATGAACCATAAGCCATCAGCTCGATTACGGTTGTGCCGTTTAAATATGGGGTTCCAACGCCAAGGAAGTCCCCATAAGTGATGTCGTAGTAGTATACGAGCGTGGCTGCTGATTCGGTCCTGAGCTCAAATAAATAGTGCTTCCATACGGAATCGTAATTTGTCGAAGCTGATATTGCAACGGGTAAAAGCCAGAGGTTCACGAGATAGAATCCATCAGCATCATTCAAATTTAAATTCTGGCTGAGAGGACACTCACGCAAAATGGAGGAGTTCCAAAGACTACTAAACCGCTCGAGCGTAGCTACAGGTAGACTTAACAACTTGTCTTCAGATTGGGGCTAAATTAGTTCAATCGGCTCCGCCTTACTATCCCTCGTATGGCACATCGGAATTGCAAGGTAAAGCAAAACAGGCAACTCAACTGACTCCATCCTCGACAACGATAGCGCTTGCTCCGAGGAGAGAATAGGAAACGGCAACGATCGCGGAATGGCTTTGATCAAGACAGATGTTTTCAGAGGCTGTACTCATGTAATAGTAGAGCAACGTCAAAGTTATCGTGACGATCATGCAGCTATTTGGAAGGGAGGAAAAAGGAAATCCGCAGTTCAGGAACTCAAGTTTGGCGCGAGGTATTTGACACAGAACGCAATAACAAATTAACCCGCACCTGATTCCGATCTCCAAAACAACCACAGCCCAGAATGGTATTCGAGTCCAACGGCGGCGAGATACCACAGGAGAGTATGCGAAAGCAGACAACCGTGAGCGACCGCCGTCTACAACAATACTGGGAGTAGCGGGGGCCTCCACGAACTGGTCGCCGCTGCGGCCCAAATCGGCGGTAGTCGCGGCGGAGAATCGGTGGAGCAGCGATGAGCGTGAGCCGCGGTTGGGCGCGGGGGAAGGCCCCGAGAGCGCGGACGGCGATGGCGGCGAGGGCAGAGGCGGTGGCGGCGGCGGTGGTTGCGCAATGGGGTTGGTGCGCCAAGAGACGGTGGATGCGGCGGAGGCAGCACCGGCGTCGGCGGTGGCTGGGGCGGCCGGCATAGTCGGCGTCGGAGGTGTCGTCGCCATGGTTTCCGGTTTCTTGTCACACACTGAGGAGGATGAAGAGGTGGGGAAGGCACGAAGCGACAGACTACACAGCCCACCCAGATATGACTAGTTCACACACACATATAGGACGAATACAAATACACACACACACACAAACACACGCACGCATGCACGTACACACACACATGCACCCACATACCATATACACACACGCCCGTGTAACACACGTGGGAATCACCAGACTCAGCCGGGCTCGATGTGTCGATGCCCAGATCCAGCAAGCAGGCTTGCATCGCTTGCACGTGTTCCCTTTTGGATCGAGACAACACTTTCTTTGAACATCAGAAATTTTCGTAACGAATGAGGATCTTGTATGTTTAGTGTTTTTCGTGGTCGTCCTCCGTGTGCAAGCAATTCAGGACGACAAAGAAAAACAATAACACTCAAGCAAGCCGGCGACCAATCAGCCAAGCAATCAAACGACAAATTGATCCGCTGGAGCCTGAAGTATGAGAGAGAGAGGGGGGGAAGGCGATAAAGGAACAACAGTGCGGAAGACAAGCCTTCGTAGATCGACTGCATCTGCGTCACGGTACTTCGGCCTGCTTCCCGTCCGCATTGGCCCGGCCACCTACACTCGCCCAGTACTCGTCGTGGACGTAAGCGAAGTTGAACTCTCCACCGTACGCAGCAAGAAGCTGCTTGCTTTGAATCACAGAAAGGAGCTCACCACCGCTTCCCCCTCCGGCTGGTGACGGTGCTGCTTTCACAAGCCTGATCTTGGCGTGCGTCACTGGGTCTGGACACACAAGTGCGTGCCAGGGAGTCATGGGGGGGGGAGGAGAGACGTAAAAGATTGAGTGTGCTGGATACTCAGAAATCATAGCTCCAGCGTCGTCCGCTGGAGCAAAGTAAAAAAAACGAACCTAAGAATGGAGAAACAATCGAAAACACTGCGCCAAATATCCAGCTGGAAAATAGTAATTGTAAACCGCGTGGAAAGAAGGCCGTACAGAGAGAAATTGGTCAAAAAAGGCATATACTTACGGGGCATTCACCAGGAAAGCAATACCGAGGCGCTCTGGATAATGGCTCATGAGCACATGCAGCGTAAACCTGTATGCAAGTATTATAAGGCAAATAAACCGATAGACAATGTCAGCCCGGGAAGCAGAACTGCAGGATACATCAAACGCTAATGATGAAAAAAAGTTCAAGGGAGGCTTGGTAGCGGGCCACCTCAGCTTGCCCTAACCTCGTGATAGAAAGAGGAGTGGAATTCGCGCGACTATATCGGCTCAGGTCAATAATGAGGCAGACCTGCTCTATTCCTAAATAATCAAGGACAACTCATTATTTGTGCTGAATACAACAAGATTTATGTGGTCAAAAGGACAGGAGGAGGCGTAGGGAAGGAGCGTGGGCAAATACTTCGGAAATTGTAAAGCTTACCCTCAGGCATCAGGCGGATGGCTTCCTCCAGTGTGAAAAGCAGGAGGCGTACGTTCAGCTCTGGGTTTTCCGACTTGTCTCGCTTGATCAGATAGATGACGGGACGCCCGTAGCGGTCGAAGCCGTTGACAAAGTTGTTGCCGCCGACGGCCTCGGTACGGACTTCCTCCGGCGTAATCTCGTGCGGCCGGTACTATTTGCGCCGGTCGGAGCCACGAGTGTGTAAAGGAACACCGTCAAAGCGCTACACACACACACGCACACACGCACACACACACAGTCTCTCTTTCTCTCTCTCTCTCTCTCTCTCTCTCTCTCTCTCTCTCTCTCTCCCTCATTCACACTACTCCCACATACTCTCACTCACACACACCCTCTCATTATCTCACTTACAACACACACTCTCTCTTTCTCCACTCACACAATACGGGTAACATACACGCACACATCTCATGCAGCACGCAAATCACACATCCATATAAGACGCTCAATAAACTGAAAACATCTTTGTCCTTGGCGCAAAACCAAAAGAACGCCGCAGGGACAACTTTTATGCATGGATCGAACGAGGGAGAGAAAAAGGCACAACACTGCACCTCATATCTCCAGGCCAGAGTGTCCTTCAGCTTCGCGGCAGCTCGGTCCGTGTCCCACGTCGTGGCGCGGAGATACCGCCGCAGGCAGGCGTCGTCGCAGAAGCGGCGCGCGTCGGCCGTGTCGGCAGCGGAGAGCTGAGTCTGCAGGGGGTGGTGGGAGTGGTGGTGGTGCGGGTGC